GGGCGGGCCGCGGCGGGGCTCTGCGTCTGACACCTTGGGGGTTTGACCTTGTGTGACAGCCTGGAGCAGAGGCCTTCTTTCCTTTTCATCCTGTTGCCATCCCAGTATGACCTTGGAAAGCTCCTAATAAAGATGTAAAGTTTTCATGAGCGCAGAGGAATGGGCCTCATATGAGAAATTCAGATTTCAACCGAGTCTAAAAAAATTTACTAGTTCTATCAGAATTAAAAATAAAACATCACACCGCTGATATAGGCCTCCCTATCCCAGAATAACTTCATTTAACATTTTTAAGCTGTTTCTTCTAATACATATTTTTATCTTTTTCAGGGATTTTCTGGTATTTAATAGTATTCCAAGCCTTGGATAGCATCTGTTGACTTACAGGATGAAGATTTAGATTTCACACTGTATCGCTGGTTTGAGTACCTTGTTAAAAGCTGTGATAAGGAATCTAACCCACCCAGTTTGTAGAATTTCAGGTTTGCTCACGTTGCTGCTAGTCTGGGGCCTTTTAAATTAATGTCCACTGTTCAGTGATACCCTCCATCTGTACCGAATTATAAGCCTTTGCCTTTGTCCCGGGATCCAACAACCTCTGTTTATTTTGGTGGAGGGGCTGCAGTATTTGGCCCAGTACCCCGTTCCAAACACAGTCCAGATATTAGCAGAGAAGACCAATTAACAGTAACAACTCTATCACCTTGGCTACAGTAGTAAAATCAACAATAATAGCGGTCAAAGATAAACGATATTGACATACACTAAGAAACAATAATGTACCAACCTTAACCATAGAAAGTGAGATCCATAATTATAGATGCTAGGACAAACCAAATATTGACCTACAGTAAATATCTACTGAAAAGAACAATTTTAACTCCACTAACAATAGAATAATATTCAACTAGTAATGAACTATATAAAAATTCATAAAGTTGAGTGGTTGTACTAGTAATGATACAGAGGGAACTGGAGAATGAGAAAAATAAAATTTGAAGTAATAATGGAAAATGAGATGAAAAAATCAGGTAGGGGATGCTATTGAGTAACAATAGTTTTAAATACAAAGGAAAACCCAAGAAAAGGAAAAAAAACACAAAAAAAAAAAAGTGAAGGAAAGAAGCTGAAAGGAGAAGTAAAAGAGACTATACTCCAATCTCCCAGAAAAGCATGGAGGAAAAAGCAAGGGAAAAAAAAATTGAGTCAATTTGCAAAAAAACCCAAAACTTCCTGTTTGTGAATAAGTGGCTTCTTTCTAGGATCTATAGTCTACAATCCATCAAGTCATAATTTTTTCTGTGGGCTTTTCTTGGGCTAGTGCTCTGGGCCAGGTTGATTATTTTTCCCTGGAGCTGTGGACTGTCCTCGGCTTACCTTCTGTGGTGTACTGACAACTGGTGGTCAACTTGTAACATCCTGCTGAACTGACCCAGCGTGGTGCTGGGTATGGAAGGCCCACCTGAGGATTATTGCCAACAACATAAAAATGAGAACTGGAAAGGAAGAAGTAAGCTGTTAGGGAGCTGCTGGGGCTGCTGTTGGTTCTCCTGGAGGACCTTGTTATGCTGGCTTTACTGGTATGAACGTGGCTGTTCTCATTGCAGAAGGAGTTGGGAACTTTGTCGCTGAGAGTTGCTACCGTTCACTTTGGGGGAGCTCTGACCTTACTTTGAGTGTCGCATTCCAGCTCCAGTGCTGATCCCTCAGCCTGCTGGCACCAGATCCTTCATCCCCTCTAGCATAGGCTTACTAGCTTTCACCACTAACCTTTGGGCCTTCCCAGCGCAGATCCTTGAAACAAGCCTGCATCAGACATTGTCATGGACTGCTGGCCTCCAGATGGACTTGTGGAGGGCATTGTTATGGGCTCTAGGTCTTCAGCTGGACTCATGCAGGACGTTGCCGTGGGATCCAGGCCGTCAGCTCGATTGTTTTGGTCTTTAGTGTGTGGACAGATTTCCTGCATTCTCTTTGTATATGACTTTTTGGGTGACTATTATAATGTTATAAATTATGTGTCCTGTATTGGTTCCCCATGCAACCACTGAATACAACACCTTCTCTCTGGGGGTGTTGGGCTCCCAGATGGTCAGAATGGTTGGTTGGTCAGTGCTTTTGCTGCTTGCTATTGAAGAGAAGCAAAACACATAAAGAGCTTGGAGTTTGTGGGTGGCCATAACCAGGGGGCAGAATACAAGGGCACAGGTTGCCAGGGATGAATGCCACACTAGGGACAGGTTTGCTCACCACAGAGGGAATAGATATGTTATAAACTTTTGGAAATCTTGTGAACCTATGAAATCCTAATGTTTTTATATGCTTAGCAAATATATATGGTTATAAAGAAACCAAATTGTGTTTAAAGAGTGTTGGAGACCACTACAAAGTGGCTCTGAGCAGGACTTAATATTAATCAATTGGCTTTCTGTGTTCACTTGTGAATCTGTCCAAGGCCTAGGCTCCTTACCTGGAAATGGCGGACTCATAGTAAGTGAACCTCTGTGAGTCACTAATCTCTACTAGAACCTGTAGTGGTGGCTGAAGCCAGAAAGCTTGTGTCAGGCATCTCATTCTTCAGTGGATTAACTTTATACCTTACTTAAAGAAGTCCTTGAGTGGTTTTGCCCTTCTTGAGTATTCCCTTCCCTTCTTCTGATAACCAAATAAATATGGGCGACCCAGAAAGGTGGTCTTAGCCCAGAGAGAATCTTGAATTATGTGAGAGGGCTTTGATCCTCTTGTGGCCCTGAAATCATTCCATTTGCCTCTTTTTATTTAGCCTTCGCCGTATACTTATTCAGGAGATTGTGGACCTGATCATCCCGCAATAACTAAGGGATATTATTAACCCCATAAAAGAGAATTATTTTTATTTTATTTTTTATTTTATTTTATTTTTTTTCTGGTACCGGGAACCGAACTCATGACCTTGAGCTTGCCAGGCAGGCGCTGGGCTGCTAAGCTAAATCCCCAGCCCCCAAAAGAGAATTATTAAAATATGAATAAATTATTGAAAAAGACATAGATATACTGTGTAAGACATTAAATGAAAAATCTAATGGTGGATATAAGATAATTTTGTAGTGATGAAGATAAAAGAAACTTTGATGTATTTGCAATCATTGTAAATGGAATATGAGATACCTTTGATTTTTACTGCCTTTAAAAAAATCACAGGTCCTGATAAAATACTGTAGTTTACTGCCCCCCTTTTATATAAGCAAAAGGAATGCTTTATTTTAGTTAGAAGTTGGTGTCATAAACATATAATTTTTATTTATCCAAGTTACCAGACCTTCTGAGTTCTATCAATAGACCTCTTTGAAGCAAGGTACTGGAAGTTACAAACTTAACAGATATTCACTGATATTAGGACACAACAAGGAACACTAATGAAAACTTATTTTTACTTTTATTATAAATTTATTTTATAAATAATAAAGTCCTCTATAAATGTGATAGTAACGTCTTTACTGAAATGTTCTTCTCTGACACAATCAAGTATCACAAAACAGTAAGTTAACTCCAATCTAAATACTGATAGTTTAAATTATAAAAACTCAAAAATATATATATGGACACAGTTTAACACCTAATGAAAGAAAGGTGAATCTATGCCATTATGTAGTGGCTATAGAAGATGGAACTAAGAAAAGAAAGCACTTACCCAGTGCCAGAGCAACACAACATAAGCATGTAGTTTATGTGTAGCTGTTGTCCTCCTACTCAGCTGGGCCAGCGTTGGAGCCACTTCGGTTTCCTTCTGTGCAGCTGCATAAGCCTGACTGTAACAGCAGAAATCGGGCTGTATTCCATAAGAGACCGACTCTATTCAGAACAAACAGAGTTTATTAATTTTAATTTAGACCAGTCACCTCTCATTTTTTTTGAACAATCTCTGTCTTATAAGTGGAGTAGGAAAGAAATTTCATGGGGCTTTTTGTTATAGGTTTTATTTCTAAATTTCTTTCCTAGGTATAAGTTGAGACACTATCTAATTCTATGCACTCATACATATTGTGACCTAATTTTCTCAGCCACCCAAATGCACATCCATTATCCATTGTTCTTGAAGGTATTTATTTCTCTTTATTTCCATAGTGTCTCAGTTACTTACCACCTGAGTAATTCACTTTTTAACTTGTTTTAGTTTTATTTAGCTCTCACTGATTGTTTTTACAGCATTTTTATAATTTGTTACAAGGGTTTGAGCATTTATATAAAGGTTGTAAGCTGTGTTCAGAAAAGAGGAGTTTATTATGTCTTTTCCCCTTCCTAGGTGCTTCAGGATACTGCCTAAGATTTTCCCACCCTTCTTTATGATAGCTCAAATGCCCATCTGTTTCTTATGAAAGTTGAGCTTACAGAAAATCAGAACTCATCAGATTAAAACTTCCTCTGAAAAATATTCCAGGTTTTTCTGTTCAAGGTAAGTTAATAGTGCTTTTAGAAGGAAGTTTCAGGGGGTTGGGGATTTAGCTCAGCGGCAAAAAGCGCCTGCCTGGCAAGCGCAAGGTCCTGAATTCGGTTCCCGGTACCGGAGAAAAACCAAAAAAAAAGAAGCAGGCTTCATATTCAAAATTATTATCTTCATATCTCAGGACAATTATTAAAAATATATTTTGTAACTTTCTTATTTATGACCTGGGAGTTTTCTGAAGCTTCTCATTTTGTGCCTGTATTTTTTTTGAATGGATCCACATTGTCTTTTTATGATAAGCTCTTAAAGGAGTTTGAAATTATTATCTGATTGATCAATCTTTTCTTTGTTCTTGTTTAGCTGTGCTTCTTATTTTTGAGAGCTTAATGGATACTCAAATCACATCTCCCATTCCTACATCACTCTTTAAAGGAGTGTCAGTGGTAGCTGTTTCACAGACAGATCATCACATTGCAACACGCTTGGGATTAGGCAGGTGTTACATGTATATCATACTTTTTACTTTATCTTCTTTTTAGTTACTCTCATTTCACTTTGTGAAGTTGCTATTTCCATTTTGCAGGGTAAAACAAAAACAGAGAACAAGATATTCACAGAGGTTAACATTCACCAAAGGTAACAAAGTAAGTTGTTTAGATCTGATTCACTCACTACTCTACACTATTCTGGGATATGAATATACCAAAACTTTTGTTATCCCTTTGCTATTGATAGTTAAGTGTTTCCATATGTTTATTTTATAAATAATATTTCAGTGAATAACTCTGCACACCTGTAAGTGGAATAACTAAATTCACTTCACTTCAGCTCACTTCACTAGATCCTGCTTCAAGTACCAACACAGTCCTACAGGCAGTGAATGCAATTTTCTTTCTCCACATTCTTGCAAAATTTTATTATAAAACTGTATTATTTGCTTCCATTTAAAATGAAATATCTTAAAGTATATTTCTCTGATGTTTTGTGAATTGAGAATCTTTTATAATTTTACAAGGCAGGTAATTTTCACTTTTTAGGGTCCTAGCTCAGTGATGGTGAACCTTGTAGAGCTTTCAATGATGACAAACAGCCCGCTGCTGCACATTACACTTTTGCTCAATTTTTAGTTTTTCTTTTTTTTTTTCTTATTATAGGCTGAAGATGCTAGAGGGAGGAACACAGCAATATCAGAAATAACTAAGATAACACGTGACCTTCAGTGTTGTTTTCTTACAAAAGCCACAGACACATCAGTAGGATGGATGGCAAAGGCTATCTGGTAAAGGGCTAGGAACTCATACAAGTTTGTGAGCCTTTTGTGGAAGAGGCTGAGGATTGGTAGATGGAGTAGGAAAGGACTTTTTGCTCATGAGAGATATGTTGTTTCAGGACAGGGACTCTGGCTTCATGATTGTGTTGCAGGCTCTCAAACAAGTGTACTCAAAATAGTATGGTGGTGGTCACAGTATAGATCCTGGAGCCAGAGTTTTCTGTATTTCAATTCCAGTTCTGCTTCTTGCCATTTGTACCATGCTAGTAAATTACTTCTTTGTATGTTAGTCTTCTCATCTATGAAATGAGGGCAGCAGTAGTGCTGATGATACAATGTTGTTTATGAGGATAAAAATGAGTAAATACTTGGAATGGGGACTGATACTACACCATAATATATAGCTTTTCTTTAAACTTTCATAATATGAAAGATGCTATGCCAGATGTACTTTATATATAAACTTATTGGGAAATTGACCTTTTTGTAAGTTGATGTTTAACTCACACTGATAGGTAGATTAGAAAATAATTGGCCAACAGAGAAGACTTACTGCACTGTTCCCTGCAAGTCAGTATTTAAATACTAACTCAACTGATTAGAAGGGAAACTTATTGCACACTATAAAATTAAGAAATGTAGACAAAGGGTCTACAGAGTACTCCCTGCAGATTATGTAGGTAATGGAAAGAGCATGATTTTGGAGCATGCAAACCTGGATATGAATTCTGATTCTGCTAATTATTAACTATGTGACCTTGGACATGTTACTTTCTGCAGTGGATAGCTCAGGCTGGAAACTGATCACACTTGTCAGGGGTGAGGCAAGGCCAGTGGGAAAGCAAAGATCACCTGAGGCAATCAATCTGCTTCAGTCCAGAGAAACACCAAGCCCGAGACTATCCCAGTCATTAGTTGCTAGGCAAGCCTATATCACATGACACTAACTTTGTCAAATGTATAAATAAATGCTCCTTTGGTGGTTGAGCAGTTTCCTTTCCTCCCACCTGACCTCAGCTTTTGTCTCTTTATTTTTCCCATCCTCTAACTGTCCCCTCCACCTAGGAACTCCAAGAATTCCATACTGGTATGCAGCAACTTACTATTTCTAATTCTTAGCTACCTTACTTGTTGATTGGCAAAAACACTACTACTACTTAGGTGGTATTTTCCCATAGAGTTACAGCCATGTGTTGTTTAAAGATGATGATCCATTCTGAGAAATGCATTGTTAAGCAATTTGTGTGAACATTATAGAATGTACTTACATAAGCTAAGACATTATAATATCACTATGTAATACAAGCTTATGAGACCACTGTTGAATATGCAGTCCATTGTTGACCAAGACATCATTATGTGCCATATGACTGTACCCACTGAGTGGTAATTTTCTACTCTGAAATTTTAGAATGATAGAACCAAGAACTTTTTTTTGAAACTAAGGTTTTAAAGGTTCTAAATGGAAACAATTTTTGGTGTACTTATACAGGAATTTGAAGAAGGATTTAGGTAATTATGCTTTTTGGGTTGATCATGGGAAACAATGGCTGCTGTTGCCTCTGAAGGTAGCAGCCATTGTACAGGTTTATTGCATGAATGTGAGATTGTATAGGTCATCAGTTCTCAGTTCTCAGATTATGGATGCGAAAACTGAAGCCAGACAGGGAAGTGATATCACAATTGTGGTGTCCATTTGTGCTAGACACAGAACCAGGACTCAAGTGTTTCTAGATCCTTGAGTCACCAGAAGATTATTCTTTACTCTTGTAAGTTCCTAGCTTACTGCCTCTGCTAGGTGACCACAGTCTCTGGCTTCATGCTGCCAGCTTCCAGAAGTGCCTGCAGGGAAGACTTAACTTTTCAGGCTCTACTGACTCCTAGCTGCCAAGAATATCACAGTGGGACTCATGAAAAGGCCCTATACCCTTCCTTCATGTGCTGACTGGTGTTGCTGGGTCTTTTCCTTTGGCCTTCATTCTGACATTCTCCTTTTCTTGCCACTGCACTCCCCTAACTGCCTAGTTATAGACTGTCTTGCCAGCTGTGTATCTGCATCACTCTGTGTTGCATATTGTGCCACCCTTTTGCAACTACTCTATCCTGCAACTTTAGCCCTGGATGTACAATGAGCAATATATTTGCTTGCCTTCTATGCCCCCGAGGAATGGAGGATTGGATCTGACCTCAGCTGTTCACTATGCTGAAAGCCAAGAGAATCGACATAGAATTAACAGTGGAATGGAATGCATCCATTTTATCAGGTGTGGCTCAAGGCCTTAAACAAACTATTACTGCATGCAAAGAACAGCAGTGAACTAACCTTGAAATAATAGCATGGCGCTCTGTTGGGGATTTCAGCCCCTCTCTTTATACTGCTGTCATCCTTCAAAATCCTTAAAGCCACCATATAAATTCAATGAACACCTATACGATTTCATCCCATTCAGTGAAAACCTATGATTTCAAGTGGTTTCTTTTGAGGGGGTGGCTTTGTCAAATCACAATTAAAGACCATGAGGTACTTGTAAGAGAGTCTACCACTGCTACAAATATGTTCATCTTTCTAGGCTACAAAGAAAAATGAGGCATTGCACTGTTCAGCACTGATGAAGGCTACCACTGATGTACGTTGCAAGCAGAACTAAAAAACAGACTCCACTCTGGCAACTCATAATGAAATTTAGATGTTCAGAATTTCAATCAGTGGTAGCATTGACAGAAATCTGACTGGGACATGGCTAAGGGTTTCTGACTTTGGCTCAGCCAACTGCCTTTTAAAGGTTTGAACTATAGGAGGGCCCACTGTCTTAGTTTGACTTTTCCATTTAAGTTAGGAAATCTGAGAGATTCAGCATCACAACTGTTCATTTGATTAGTCAGTACACAGAATAATAATATACTGTGACTCTAAATTGGAGAACTTTGGAACTGGAAGGGACACTGTTGAGGTATGTCATACTTATATTTTACTGGTGGAGAAAAGAAGCCCTGGGGGGAGGGCAGTAATTCAGAGCTCCAATGTGAGACCATGTCCTGTAGTGCTTGCAAATCTAGCTTGTCATATACCAAGGAGTCCACTTTAGTTCATTCAGGTTGCCATATTAACAAAATACTACAAACAAGGCAGCTTACAAACAATAAATATTTATTTTTTATACTTCTGAAGGCTGTGAAATGCAAGATCAAGATGCCAGCAGATTCGGTGTTAGGGGAGGATCTGTTCTTGATACATTTGCCTTCTTTCTGTGGCCTCACATGTTGGAATGGACAAGGCAGTTCTCTGGATTCTCCTTTATTAGGGCACTAGTCCTCTTCCCTCTTTAAAATGGGAATTGGATGATACAATTTTTGACAGACCAGTATGATAGCAGTAAAATCAAGATGCTGCCTGTGTGCACCCCAGGGACAGCATGATTGCTGCCTCACAAGCAGTCACTTACAGGGTAGAAAAGAACTAATGGATGTACAGTGTGGGCCCACAGCATCTGCTTAGGAGCAGGAATAAATAAAGCATTAAGTCAGAAGCATTTATTTCCACCTTCATCTTCTTGTTATAAGAGAAGGGAAAGATCTTGGAATACATTGTACCTACATCTAAATGAGCTCAGCCTATTTCTATTAGAGGTCAGCCTAGGTTTCAAAGTCAGAGCAAAAGAATCTGGATACACAGGATTTGGAAGATATGGGATAGGCCACTGTGTGGCAGAGGCATGTGATAGACTGTCATAGGTCCAATTTCCATCCCTGGCTCTACTACAGATGAGCTGGTGGCTTTCTGCAGTCCACTTTATCTAGGCCTTTCAATTATGAATGAGCAATGAAGGGCCAGAACACCTCTGTTGGTCTTAACAACTGACATTCTGACACTCAGTTTTTTTTTTTTCCTGACCATTTCAGGAAGTGGGTTCCTTTTAACAGTTTTCTGCTGCCTTCTCAGCATCATGCTCATAGGGTGAGAACAAGCAATTTTAAATGGGTGTGTCAGAAGGTCTTGGCTATTATAAAACAACAGCTAATATGCTTTATAATGCCAATGAACACCAGAAGACACTAAGCACAGCTTATGATGATGCTCCCTAAAATTTCTTATGCTATGAGAGATCACATCTCACTGACATATTGTTTAGATATTCGGAATAATCTCCTGGAGATGACCTTGACTTGGTATCCAAGTGAGTAACTGGTGCCACGAGCAGAAAGAACCCGATCTTATGGTGATTGGGTCAGCACAGACCCTGGGTCCTATGGTCAGGGTTCCAATCACATTGTGGTACATGTCTGAAGAACATGTATCACTGTAGTCCTTGATGTTTTCTGCCCCAATTTCTGGTGACTGGGATCTAGAATGTCCCCTGGAAGACTTGGGTGCCAGTTGATAGACTTTTAGAAATTGGTTATATCCTAGGGCTGTAATTTTACCAGTGGCTTAACTCATTTGATTCATAATTTTATTGCATTATTGGAAAATGATGGACTCTTAGGAGATGAAGCTTAACTGTGCAGCTAGGGGCTTTGATTTGAAGATTGTATTTTGTCCCCATTTCCTTGTACTCTGGCTTTCTCATTCTTTCTACTTGCTGATGGTTAGAGGTGAGCAGCTATGCCTATATTCTCTCTGCCATGATGCTCTGCCTCATATAGGCCCAGAGACAATGCAGCCAACCAACCATGGACTGAAACCTCTGTAAATCTGAAGAAATCTTTCTTCTTTTAAGTTATTATTCTCAGGTATTCTGTCACAGCTAACACATGGTTCTTGTCTGTAAACACAGGTATGTGATGTCACAGAAAAAAACAGAACACCAGACATCCTTCAGAGTGTTACAGGAAGACATTTCAGACTGTCTGTAGAAGATGTATGTGTAGATCACAGTCAAAATGTAACTAATATTAAGCTTGGCCCATGCTTCATCATGCTGAATAGAGGAATTAAAGGCCTACAAATAGTAGACTGGAGTGGCGGAGAGACTCCAGATTATGGCCTGATGGTTCCACTGGAAGTTTAGGACATCCCAAACTAGAAAAAAATGATGAGAGGTATTGTGAACATCCAGCTGTTAGTTTAAAGTATGAGGCAGCTTGGTCAAGAATAAAAATCAATGTGAATACAAATTTAAATTCTGCCATTTACTAGGTGCTTGACAATATGGAACCTATTTTTTATTTAAAACTTTGGCCTGTATAAACTATGCTATTAATATTGCTCCTAAAGCTTTGTTGTTAGGATTAAATACAATGATATATGCAAAGTCTCTTGGATCCTCTCTCATGGATGGATTCTATGGTACCACGTGGTATGATGAACAGTTCTGGGAAGACAGCAGCCTGTTTTGACTGTGGCGTCTTCGAAGAGATGTGGTTTCTGGCCAGTATAGTACAGTGTCAAATATTAAGTCGGTGCTCTGCGCTGTTTGTTGTGGTTTCCTTCTCATCACTGGAATCAGCTGGGTCTCTGGGTTAATAGTTCTCAATGACTTTAAATGATGAGAATGTGCTTGAATAACATCCAGGAGATTAGGAGAGGTAACTTCTTTGCATGTCATATATAATACAAATACTACTTTTGACAAAGATTTTAGACTTGTCTAATCTTGATCTGTAAGTGGATTTTAAACTGGTTTAACCCAAGACATATTTTCATGTCCTACTTATTCTTTGTCTTATTAGAAATCTTACCTGTCCTTTGAACCTGGAAGGTCAAATAAATGAGAGGTGGTTGTCCTTTCTGTTTTTCAGTTTTTTCTCAGTTAACTCATTGTTAATTATGTTATATTTGCAATATACATTAAAATGTAAAATAACATAGCTGCACACACAGTCTATTAAGAGATATTGGAAGCACAAAATCTCTTTCAAAGTGGAAGAAAAGCTGTTTGTAGAAAAACCTTTAAGGCAGTACTAAAGAAACTCTAATTCTGGGTTAATAAGTATGCTGTTTTCTTAATGTAAAAATATTTATAATAAAGATGGTTAAGTTACTATTGTCTTATTACACTATAGTAATAGTTCCAGAGAAGATGATAAAAATATAAAACTCAGGAAAAAGAATTAGAATATGCAGGTAGGCTTTTATTAGGGCAAAGATTTCCATATCCATAAAGATATCATTAAACCAAGGATCCAAATGAATAATTAATTTGCAATTAATTATAAATGAAGATACTTCAGCATATAAACCAAAGTCTTCAAAGATTTTAAGTACTGGGACCTAACATTTTCCAACTAATTAATGAGAAAACCACACAAGAGGGCATAAATGGTAGTATGTTTTTACATAGCAAAGAGATATGTCTACTGTTTTCATGAATCACATTTGATACTATAAAATATACTTTACAGGGCAAAAAAACTGAAGAAAAGAACCTTAGGAAAGCAGACATGATGCAAAGATGGATAATGTATATTAATAATTTAAATAAATATATGGTCACAGGGATGAAAATGTGACCTCATTATTTGAACAAAAGTTTATTAAAATACAGAATAGTCTGAAACAAATGAAAAATCAAGACCTTAATACAGTGACAAGTATCTTTGTAAAATAAGATGCAAAATGAATAATTATAAAGACACTTCAACATGAAAATCAAAGGGTCAGATTTCTCCTATTAAGACCTAATAAAATTATTTTCTAATTGATAGATATTTTCATATGACAGATTCTGAAACACTAAGGGGCAAACAAACTCTTATTTCCTGCAACAGGGGTAACAAATGATAGACATGGCTTTAAAACATGTAAAGAACACAGTGAATTAACTTACCACCTTCTTCAAAGAAAAAAGAATAATTTTCTTGGGAGAATTTAAGCACCATTGGAGGACACATTTTATAATACCAGATAATGAAATACTTGGTATTTTCAGTACCAAACTATTTCAACGGTGAAAATGATGTAGGAATCAGAAGTATATTCTGCTGAGATTCCAGGTAGTTGACACTTTCCCGAACTGGAACAAGATTTCATAAAGTACATAAAGTAATTGACTGAATCAAATTTGTTCTAAAAATAATCTATGCTTAGTGACACTGCTTACCAGCCGCCACAACTCTAGGATCCTCGTGAGATTCATGTCTGCCAGCTGCACGACTGTCAGCGCTCTCATGCCACCAAAGAACATGAACTGAAGAAATAAGCCGAAAATTATTTCTACAGAATATGGCATTAATAAATAAGAAATACAGAAAAATGAGTCCAAAATGTTATATTTTTAGAACTAAAATGATTAAAAAAAGTATAGTCAAATGTTTCAGTGATATAATTGCAGAGGGGTTAGAGACTTGGGAAAGAAATTTATAAATTAATTAATGGTTTTATAGATGAAGAAACACATACAGTGGGAGAAGGAAAGTAAAGTAAGACAGCTACAGGCACACTTGAGACAATACCCCTGTTTCCTACAACATTTTATTTTTAAAAAGCAACATTATAAATTGTGTCTACTATAGGAAAGTAAAAAGCTGCATAATGTTAATAAGTACTGTCTTGGTTACTTTTCTATCGTTGTTGAGACAAAATACCTGATGCCTGAAATTACGGAAGGAAAGGTTATTTAGCTTACAGTCTGTGGAGGTTTCAGTGCATACTTGGTTAGCTCCAAGGCAGCGGGGCACATGGCAGAGGGCAACCGTTCATGGTGGTGGAAGACAGCAAAAGCAACAAGAGCAAAAGGGAGAAGGAGTGGTGGCAAGCAGCCTCTTTCTCTCCCTTACATATGCAAACTATCTGCTCCAGGGTGGGGTGTAGCACTCACACCCATAATCCCAGCATTGGACTATGTATGGATCCATCAACAATCTAGAAGTCCACCCCATGACTGCATGAGGATTTGGGGGAACATGCAGACACAAATCATAACAAGTACCCAGAGAAACTCTCCAGTACTTAGTATATTCCTTTAAAAATATGAGGAAAATAAAATTAGGGTCTTATTGTATTTTATGCTTAATAATAGATTCTTCAAAACTAATAGTATCATCTATCACAATAATATCAACTTTTATGACTATATAAATTCCTCTTTACAGATGCTGTAATGTTTATGCTAACCCTTATCATTGACTATTTAGATTCTTTCCAATATTTTAGTATTCTATAAAATACTGGAATAAATATTTTCCTTGTGTATAATTTTTATACTTTTTTATAACTGCAATGTAATGCAAGCTAGATGTACATAAAAATGCAGATAAAACCTAAGAGAAACCAGTAGTCATTTCTACATAACTCAGGAATAATTACTTTTGAGATAGTATGCAACTTTATATATACTTATACAAACACAAACTTCATATAAAGCATGTTTGTTTTGTATGAGTGTATATATATGCTTGTATTTATAGATATACATATGGTTTGTGTATATATACATATATTATAAATATATAATATAGATGAACATTGTTTCCAATGTTTCCTTAATGTAAAAATTTATGACATAAACTTCAAATACATCTACATGTATACCTGTAGTAATAGTAATACTGATGACAATTACTAGTGACATGTAATAGGTGATTGATAGGCCTTATTTTAAGCATTTTTTGTATCTTAATTCACTTAGCCCTTGTAATGATCTAAGTGGTATGCATCTGTCATCATTTTATGGATGAGGGAACTAAGGTGCAGTGCAGTTAACTTATACAAGATCAAAAAGTTGTTAGGCAGTGGAGCTAGGATTCATGTCTAGGCCCTTTGGATCTGTTTATTTCCTTATCAAAAAGAAAAACTTAAATTGAGAGAACCATATAGTCTGTCTCATATATGTATATATGTTACATATATGTTTAATAAATATACAGCCTATATGTTAAAACTGTCTTCTAGAAATGATGTAATGATTTATATTCAGCATACCAGCATTCTACTATCCTGAGAATGATTTTAAGATTAAAAATGTATGTGCACAAATTTCAGTTTTTTCTTATACATATCCAGTACAGAAAACAGAGACATTAAAAAAAACCTTTTAATGTCATTATTCAAATGACTACCTTATATACTATACTTTCAAATTTCTTTCCAGTATAAATAGTAATACCTGCATATTTTCTAGAAGTAATACTGCCAGAGGTAGGAAAAAGAGTATTTTTGTTTATATAGCCAAATTTGTGGAAGAAAGGTTAATATGAACCTTGTATAGTACATGAGTTATTTTTTCCTGAACTATCTGTACTAGTTAGCTTTCTTATTGCTGTGACAAATACCTGACAACCATGTAACAGGAACTATAAAAACAATAGTTTTATCAATTTACTCAATAATTTTCTACATATGTTATATCTTAAAACATTCAATATATAATGCAACATTACAACCTGGACAGCAGTACCTAGTCTCTTTCTGAATTCTTTTTACATTATTGTCTTTCTTTGAACAACACACCTTACACTGTCATGTTGGCCTCTCCTTTTTTTCTGAGGGTGGCATAACTTCATTAAAATGCCTACTCACTAACTGTAATGGTGAAGACGTCAATGACGGACATACTGGTTGGCGTTTCACTATCCTATATTTTTCAATTATTTGACCTAATTTAAATTGGACCTATTAAACCTAACAGAACTAATCTGAATTGTAAATGCATTTTTGAACCCCTTACTTTAAATAAATAACAAACAAGTTCCATACTGTTTGGTCTAAAAGGTGCATAGATATTTTATAATAATGTTTTTTCCTGCTTTTTTGATTACAGGATATCTTATTGGATGTTGGTCAACTCTGTCAATACTACCCACAGAATTATTATAATCACTGACCACTACTGGAGTTATCTTTCAAGATCTATCATTTCTATATTATGAATAGCTGTCAATAAGAAGATCTCTTTTTTGTCTTTCCATTTCATAATGCAGACTCAGCCTTTCTTTTTCCCTTTCTGTTTTTTATATTTGTAGATCTTTTGGCACTTTCTTCAGATTCAGTCTCAATTTCACAAACATGTCTATTTTGTACTGTAAAAGAATATCACTGGGGCTGGGGATTTAGCTCAGCGGCAAAAGCGCCTGCCTGGCAAGCGCAAGGTTGTGAGTTTGGTTCCCGGTACTGGAGAAAAACCAAAAAAATAAATAAATAAATAAAAAATAAAAAAGAGTATCACTGAGATCTGCAGAAGTATTAAAATTATATCTAACATTTATGGTATGAGTTTTTATAGATTACAGCACAAAATTATACGTTATTTTTCACAAACGAAATACATACAAATTAGTTAAAATAACCAGAACTTATTAGACTTCACTGGAAACAAACACCAAGGTAAATAAAATGTTTAAATAAAAAAGTATGCAAAAAAGTTAATATAAAACAAACAGATATATGAGTGTATCTCATGGAAACAAGCACCAACTGGTTGAAATGACACCTGCCTGAGTGATACTCTACATAGTCAATATATAAACCTGCTGCCTGAGTGACACTCAGTGTAAACTATTAAGTGGTTACAGGAGAAGAGCTTTTTTGACTCATGGTTTCAGAAGATTCAGTCCATGATAAGCTGGTCCCAAGGCAGAAACATCATGGTAGAAAGGCATGGTGGAGCAAAGCTACACAGATCATGGTGGCTGGACAAGACGGCAGAGGAGCCGTGCCATACCCAAACCCATCCCCTTAAATGATACTTCATCTCCACATAAATTCAAAGTTATCATCTACTTAGCATGATATAACTGTCCCACATACAGCAGAAAAGGCACTAAAGGCTTACCCCAAAGGTTCCAGTATTGCTTAAAAGTCTAAGTCTGCATTCAATGAGACTCAAGGCAAACTCTTAGCTATAAACCCCTAAAAATTAAAAAAGCACATAATCCCAATATACAAGGGTACAAGGTAAACATTCCCATTTCAAAAGTGAAGAGTAGGGAGTGGAAAATAATAGGACCAAAGTAAGACCCAGCAGCACAAATATTAAGGCCTGGCATGTTCCAGAGGGCTTGGATGGCTTCACCTCTATAGCCTTGCTGGATGTAGTCAATATGGCTTCTCTTAGGGATTTGTTTGAAGTCTGAGGCTTTCCTCAGTAGATGTTCCATATTCCTGACATCTCTGAATTGTGCAGTTCTTCACTGCACCTTCAGCTTTATACTCACATCTTTATACACCCACCTCTCAGGGGTTTATGTTGCCTGGCCTAATAGACTTTCCATTGAAATCTATATGGAAGCTCCTGTGATCCCACAACTCTTGCCTTCTACATGCCTGCAAAACTAGTATACCATGAGTAACATCAAAGTCTGTCACCAGTTTAAGCTGTAGCCAGGCCCCCTTGTGCCATGGCTACTTCACTCTTAATGCCTGGATGGTTAACAATGGAGTAGTTAATCTCAGGGAACGAATTTCCTAGGTAGCATTCTGGAGTGGGGGTTTTAAGGGCTCCCTTCTCAAACGAGGGGTTTACACTTTGCACCCTTCAATCTGGGAAGGATAGGGTCTTTCTTATGCCTGAGACACCTTCAGTACATCTTTCTATCTGTCCCTGTTCTAGGGTTGGTTTCTTTTTAACAGTTTTAGTCTCTTCAACAATCATACTTCCTTTGGCCCTAATTTCAGGCCAAAATTTAAGTTTTTCAAGTATTTTTGTGCCACTTTTTACTACTGATTTTCCATATAAATCTTACCCAAATCAGCCAGTAGTATCTACACCACAGGCTAATACTAGGCTGACTTGAACTATCCTTCACTAAATCATTTAGTCCACAGCCCTTAAATTCTGCCTTCTGCAAAGTCTCAGGATATGGGCAAAATGTAGTCCAGTCCTTTACCAGAATGTAACACAAATAGATTCTATTCCAATTCTCAAATAAGTCCTTATCTAAAACCTTGTAAGCCTGGCCTTTATTGTTCTTATTCCTATCAACATTGTGGTTAGCACAAACTAGCATGCTTAGTTCTTGGTGGCTGGAAAGCAGAGCAAGGGAAAAGCATCAGAAAGGAGGGGCCAGGGACCACAAATAGACCCCTATGCAATACCTCCATGATTTACCCAGACATAATAATAAATGTGTTTTATTAATCCTCTCGGCACCTAAGCCAATCAAGTTGACCATTAAGTGTAACTGTCACACTATCACTGTATCCATACATGTATATACTAAGTCCAAAAATGACATCTCATTACTATTTTATTTTTTTTTGTTTTTTTCTCCAGTACCAGGAACCGAACTAACTCATGACCTTGCACTTGCCAGGCAGGCACTTTGCCGCTGAGTTAAATCCCCAGCCCCTCATTACTATTTTAATTTTTATCTTCTTCAGTAATATGTTCAGTAGTCACTTGTATGTCTATATTCATGTAAATATATTTTTCTTTTTGCTTTTCAATTTTATTTATGTGTCACATGCAGAAAGTTTGAACTTTTGTATAATAAAGTCATCAGTTGATTTTTATCTTCATGACTTCATTTGTTTTTTGATGTAGAAATACAGTACCAGCCAATTATTAAATAAATTCATCTACAATTTGTTTTAGCAACTCACAAATTAAAAAGTTTTCACTGAAATCTATAACCCATCTTGATTTTATCTCAGTGTATGTTATGATAGTTTTCATAATAATTTTTCTCCTTTACGTATTTTCCAAATTGAACATATATCTTAATGAACAGATAGGCTGAATATCCCTATTCTAGAAATCCCTTACATTTCAGATAATGGATACTCAACTGTATTTCTAGAAGGTGAATTTCTATGTAAAGGTCAAGAGTTCAGGACTATGTTAGGTTTGAGGTGTTCACTGTATATAAAATAGAGGTTTTAAGATGGTAACTGGATATTTTATATTTTTCCAAATATTTAGTAGCTATTCTTAATCATTTATTTGTTCAGATAAAATACAAATATTTTTCAGAATTTGTCACAGAAGTGTTTTGAAATTATAACTGTAATCTCTTTTAACTTAAAAGTTTAATACTCTAAGTTTTACTAAATATATATAAATTTACTAATATACTATATATATGGATACTAATATACTATCTATATGTATATATTAACACCCTATGTATATTTAGTAGAAAATGGGTAAACTGTTATGGAAGGGGGCTTTAATATTTATAAAAATATATATTACATTTTTACTCAGAAATAGTATCCCTACTCCAAATAGTTATTTTAAAAAATTAACAAATACATTCAGAGGGAAAAAAGATTATAAAAGGAACAGATTATTTTCTGAGATTCTTTTAGTTATTCAGACTTAATAATTTTGATGATGTATTTGGGCAAACAGCAATCTAGCATATGAAAAAGGCTTCATAGTGTTAACATTCTGTTAACAGTTTAGATCTAGGCTGGGTGTGGTGGTGCTCGCCTGTAATCCCAGCATTTAGGAGGCTGAGGCAGGAAGATCACTGCGAGTTTGAGACCAGCCTGGGCTACAAAGTGAGCTAAGGGCCAGCCTGAACTATATAGTGACACCGTGTCTCAAAAAGACACACAAAAAAAGTTTAGATCTGAAATGTCTCTCAAAGGATTGTGTGTTGAAAGCTTCGGCCCCAGCTGGCGGCACTACTGGGAAGTGCTAGAAATTCTAGGAGGTAGGAACAGTGCTGGAGGAAGGAGGTCACTGGGGAGGTGCCGCTGAAGGGCACGTTTTTTTCCTGGTACTTTGTTTTCTGTCTTCTTCCTGAATGCCATGGGATAAAGCAGCTTTTCTCTACCATGCCCATTCACCATCATGTTCCTGCCTTGCCACAGGTCTAGAAGCAATACAGCCAGCTGACCATGGACTGAAACCTCTGAGGCTATGACCCAAAGTAAGTCTTTCCTTCTTCAGGCTGATTTTGCCACAGCAACAGAAAGTTGATTAATGCACAATATAAATAAATAAGATGTAAAACAGGTTTTTCCTGACCATTAAAATTTACAAAACTAAAAATTTGGCAACAGAGAACTAAAATATACACGATAGTGAGAAATAATCTGATCCAAGGAACTTACTAGTAAACTACCAATATACACTGAAATTTCATGCAAGAAATGGACAAGTGTACCTCTGTTGAGTGCTCCATATTCTGTGTGGAAAACACCAACTAGTTTTGTGTAGCCTCGATTGACATGGGTATGAACTGCCCTTTTAAATGCATCACCCCACAGAGCTGGACCACCAGGTTTCATCTGAAAAGTAGCCAGTTCATAGACTCCTAGAACAGGGAGACAAAGAATTATTTTAGAGAAGACATACCAGCAATTTCTGACCATAGTTGTCTTGTTTCAGTGGAAGACTATATATATAGATTTGGAAGATCATATTTAGACATTTATTATATTTGCACTATTTTTGTTTGGGTTTGTGTTTAGAAGATTTTTGACCACATTTAAGAGCTATTAAACTTTACAGATGACAAAAAGGACTGAAAACTTATATACACATAAGCTACTATCTAAAGTATTTTTATCTAACAATTTGTTAATAAAACAGATATGGAGAATTTTTAATGAAGTAGCAGTTTTAAGCTAAGTGCATACTTTTAAAAAAGAAATGAGTAAAAGAATTTTCCAGTAACCAGAGGCTATAGTTCAGTGGTAGAGTACTTGCTTAGTATGTATGAGGCCCTGGTTTGATCTCTATCACCATAAATAAATAAATGAATAAATACAATCTCCTTCAGTTTCATCCTCTGTCCAATATCTAACATTCTTTGTATAATTTTTCCCTTAAGTTTCCAATTTTAATAGGAAGAAAAAAGAAACAATGGTACTGAAGTGATGCCTCTAAGTTTTAAAACATAACCCTGAAGAAATGGCTCTTACTATTCCTAAAAGTCCAAATACATACCTGAAATGTATTTTATCTTCTGAATAGATGGATAGGGCCAGGAGAGAGAAAAAAACTAGAGGACAAATAGATTTGAGAGGTAAACTTGCAAAGGTTATCAAGAATCATGAATGATAGATAAAACAGGAAGAGAACCAACATTAGACACTGAGACACCAACTATTTTACTTAGATACTGCTGAGAGATGAAGGGATATATAAGCTGATAGGATCCAGTAAGACTTCAAATTTCTTTGTAGTGTAATCCAAAGTACATTACAAAGTTCATAATCGGGGAGATAAAATAAATTTAAATCAGTTTATGGTTTTTTAATCTGACTTTTGTTTAAAATAGGATGAAAAAAATTAAACTTTTGTTTGAAATAGTTTAAGTCAACAAGAAATGAAATCAGCAATTAGATAGGTCTTAAAGAATTATTTTCAAATAGAAGAAAGAAGAAGGAACAAATGTTAGAGAATAGTAACATAGTTTGGTAATTTTCAATTCATTCCTCCTAAAACTCAATTTTATAAGTAAAGATATATTGCATGCCTTTGGATTAATTACAATCTGTAGAAAATATTTAAAGTTGGTGTGACTTTAAAACTGACACAATTTCAAATACTATCCTTTACATATCCAAAGAACTTGCCCTTATTGGGAAATTTTCAATCTTTACTGGACATAAAGACTTTTTCAATACATAGATTCATTTAGCAATCTGTAAAAACTCAATTTGGAAAAATTCTTAATTAATTCTCATTTTTTAGATGCAAACTATAGCTTCCATTTAATTTTACTCAACAATCATAGTATGTTAATATAAAAAACAAAGGAATAATTTTACTTTTCCTCAGTAGTACTTTTGTTTTATTGCTTGAGATGTTCTGTATATTTTATTCATTAAAATGCACGTCTGCAAAGGAAGACCTACCTTCTTTCGCAGGCCTCTCTATTTTGCACCATGGGACCAGATAAGTAATCTCAATCTCCTGTTTATCAATGTGAGCCAAATTTGGAATAAGGAACTGTTCTTGCCATTCCTTATCTTTGACCAAAGCTTTCCGGACTGCAGTTCGATGAGCAAAATTATCTACGGGAAAAGGAATTAAGTAAAAATAAAAATTAACTGGAATTCCCTGGTTTTTTTGGGGGGGATTTCATTTCTCATCCACAGCACAGAGAAACAACTATGTCTTTGGAGATACTGACATGAAGAAATTTGATCTTAGGGGAACAGAAATGCAAATGACCACTGTAGCATCTTAGAAGTGGCTTCATGGAGTCTATCACTTCATAGGTGGCCGTGTGAATTAGGCAGGTTATTGTACCTTTCAGTCTCAGTTTCTTATTCTGTGAATGGAGATAGTATCACAGGCCACCAGGACTGCTGTGAGGATCAAGTGAATTAATACATGAAAAGTGCTTGGATGAGTGCTGGACACCTAGTTAATACTGTATGTGGATTATTCTTATTCAATTGAGGCAGTTAACTGACAGTGCCAGTATAGAATGACTTATTTTACTTTGGTGGTAGCAGTGGTAGGTGGTCAAGGTATGCCTTGAATAAATATTAACATAAGTGAAATTAAAACATATTTGGTAAACCACTTCTTTGAAAACATAACTCCCAAATAAATAATACTGAGTCTCTTACATATTGTTAACCATTCTTTTTCCCTGGCGTTTTTCTTTTTAAATCACCTAAACGGGTATGTACATTTGCCAACATAAGGACCTAGTACTATGAGAATCTCCTGAAATAGTGAAAAATTTTACATAATTTATGTTGTGGGAAATAATACTTGCAAATGAGTTATATCAAGAATTTACTGTATGTCCTAATGGCTATAATTTAACTTAAAAAGCAGAAAGCACAAACTGTCTTAATGGAGATGTTCTATTGTAATAGGGAAAAAAACCCTAAAATGAGCCCAGGTGAGGAATAAATAGGATAAATATTTTTAAAAATGAAGTATTTTATCAATATTATTTTGGACACTGATGACCAAACGCTATATGAAATCAAGCACTGATGTAGACTATTAAGGCTCGACACTACAGTAAAAACCATCTGGAGATTCTCGTAATTTGTTACCGTTCCCCAGGGGTGCGTCAGCTTCCATATAGAAAGAACTGTCTCACAGTGAATTCACTGAAACTCTAGCACACAGAATTGAAAAAGCAGTCTCTAAACGTAACAGAACTATTAAGCCCTAGAGCTGAATGAGCCTTAAAAATTGTCAGCCCCTCTCAACCTCTCAGCCCTCATTTACCTTGAGCCCTTAAATGATGCTGATATCTAGGCCAAACTTTGTTAATATGATACTTTATTTTGTAAACTTAGCCCATTCAGGCTTTCTTAAATTTTCAGCACTGTCTTAAATTTTTCATAAATCATCTTTCCAATAAACAATTCTAAAATTTTTTTGGACAGTGATCAGTTCACAATCATGTAATCTGATACATGAGAATTCACATTTTCCCAGTTAATTTAACATTCTGGGAATTTTACATGTAGGCCACTGGGAGCAGCAGGCACTGAACTTTTTTTTTAGCTCTACATTTTTAAAAATGTTGTATTTATTCTGTATATATCTATAGTAATATTAATATAAATATAAAAGTAAGTCTCATGCAACTGTAACAAAATGAGTATCTCAACTGGACACTTAAATCTGAATGACTCATACCGTATTTCCAAATATGAACTACTTTGTTCAGTATGCCTCCAAATTCTACACTCCAGAAACCAACCAATTCGGAGTGAGCTGTGCGAAGATGAATATTTTTCTTAATATTTTCCAGGAACTCACTCATCTTTGAGGGCTTAAGATTATAAGTACGAAATTCATAGAGCGTTCCATCCTGTTGTCTGGGCCCTGTAGCAAAAGATGAGCATACCTGAAGAAAGATAAGGCAAATTTAAATATTGTGGGAAGATGGGACTTACTGTTACGTTACAACAAGATCTGAGTCTGGAAACAAGAGGCCCTCAGTAGACGCATAATCTTGTATTTCTCCTGACAGCTCTCTACAGAATTGTGTTTATGTGGAGCTGTCAATGATGGTAACTACTTTTAAACATGCTCATTGCACAATTACTGTTTCTTAGCATGTGGTTCACCTTAACTCAGTGTTTAATAAGAATTTGCTCAAAAGAAGTCACTATCAATTTCTTTAAAGTCAGGATTCACATAAATTTACTAAGCATTTTTCCTTACTAGGAAATATTTCATCTTTAGTCAGTAATGTATGTTAGCATTACACATATAGAACTTTACAGTATGCATGTCTTCTGGCCAGTATAACAAAAATAGGTTCACAAGCTTCTTAAATTCTTAAAAAATGGAAACTGCTATTCAGGTCATAGTATTTCCTACAGTCAAAGTGAACCACTGGTCAAACATTGCACTGGAGTGTAAACACATTAGGATGCTATGTGCTCTGCACTGTAGTATAATGGTAGATTCTGTGACTGCTGCAAAAGGAAAATTCAGAGTCAGAATTATGCGAATCATTATTAATTTCTAATGAAAGATGTCATATAAAGGGCCTTTAAATGTATATAATTGTACTAAGTTGATGGAAAATCCTGTAACAACCACTAGCTCTTTTTTATTAGTTATATGCTTTGTAAATTTCTAACTCTTGTTCGAGTTTGAACTTGTTTGATGAGGAAATACCTTGCCAGAAATTATCCTGTGTCTACTTGTATAAGGAAATGTATGTAGACACAACACACTCATATGGCATTCCAGTTTACAAATCCATCTTACATTACAGTAGTTAGCATGTGCCCATTTCCTGAGGCTAATTCTACCAGAAAAAAAAATTTTAAAGCTGATTTTACCTCCAATGCTATGCTATGGACAAATTAAAGTTTATACTGACCACCTGGTATGTCTACACAGAAAGCAATAGGCTTTTTCTTATGACACATTTTATTTGAAAAGACTGCATGTTGTTTAACTGTATTTAAATGTCTAAGCTAGCCATCAAAACAAGTGCGGCTGCCCCTGTATTTGGTGGACATTCTTTCTAGGCTTTTAAACCAAACGCTAATAATAGAATGCGGGTAGGAACCAAAAAAAAAAAAAAAAAAAAAAAATGCTAGTAGGTCAAACAGCTGCCTAGTATACACAGTTTAAATATATTTTAAGTAAAATATATTAGAAAATGGGCCAATGGGGCATTTGTTCCAATCCTTCTAGGTTGATTCCAGGGCTTTGTATTTGGAGGATGAAATACTTGTCCAAAGACACTTATTCTCAGGAAAAACAAAACAATACAAAACAAACACATAAGAAGGGAAGCTGAAGTTTGACAAGGAAGTGTGTGAGAGGGTGAAATGATTGTGAGATTTGGGATGCAGGGCTGGCCAGAAATCGCCCCTGGTTTGATGCTGCCTGATCTCCAAAGCAGGACTCATTCCTGCGAGCAATCACTAACAATTCACTTCTAAGAGAACACCGGCAGAAATGTGAAAACTCAGTTCAGAGAGAAGTCGTGAGGAAATGACTCTTGGCCCTGCCCATCCAGAGAGAGAATCGGGACAGCCTGCTTCACGTCTGCAACAGACGTTCTGCTCTGGAGCGCAGCCCCTCGCTAACCCGCCCGCTGACAAAGGACTAAACGCCTAAAAACAGAACGGAAAAGTGATTCAGGGTGAAAGCGATGGAGAGGGCCTGGACCACAGCCCGATCTGTGCATTTCTCAAGCCGGGCTGGGTTTGGGGCGCCGGGCTGCCTGCGCCTCTTCCAGGATCTGCACGAAAGGCTCCGCTGCGCCCCGAAGGGGGAAGCAGATTCGCCGCCGGCGGGTGGTGCACGAGGCTCCATTCACCCCCGGGGAGGACGCGGCGGCTCGCGAAACCCGAGTCACGGGAAGCGCGACCGCGCCGGGGCGCAGACTGCGTGACGGACGCCCCAGCGGCCGCAGCCGCGATGGCGCCGTCGCACAAACGCCAGCGCTCAAGCTCCGCCCCGGCCCAGCCCGGCCCATCCGACCCACGC